TATTACCGCCTGATAATATATTCATGATTATATCTACTGTTGTTACATATGATACATATGTCGAATTTGGTCAATCTCGAAATCGCTGCCCTCGATGCTTATGGCAAAAAATTATATGGTATGGGCATTTGATGCCAAAATGCATCTGAAAGCCGAGAAGATTATCAAAACAATCGAAAAAGGGCAAGCGACATCTGAAACTGATAAGGAAAAAGCGATAATATTTCTACGACACCATCTTGATGATGCGCTAAAAGATGAATGTCGCACGAAAGAGAATCCCGCAGATTTATGGGAATCACTCAAAGATCATTTCGATCATGAGAAATATGTGATCCATCCGAGAGCCAAACATGATTGGCTGGATCTGAAATTCTAAAACTTTAAGTATGTGCGATAATATAATTCCGCAATGTTTGAGATAATATCTGTTATCGATGTGGTATGAACGATCATTGGTCACATACCTGTCGTATACCGAAACATCTTGGTGAATGATATCAACAATCATGTAAAGATAAAAGGGAGAAATACCCAGACAAATTTTTGTATCTGGTGTCCCTGATGATTTCATCAATAAAGAAAGAGATGGAACATATTTGTATATCGCGGATTTCCTTGATCAGCTTGAAGATGGAAAAATGACCAACTAGAGAAAATCGACATGAAGTTTATTATGAATGTTGCATTGTGTATTTTATTTCCAAGTGTGTTTTATACTCTAACGTTCAGTTTCTGTGTTATGTACTATTTCATCTTTATCTTTGTTTTCAGGAATATTTCGTATCTTTCACATTGATCAATTCGACTTGAGATATGTCGAAATTCAAGATCAATGATGGGGATATATGTCTAGCCGATAGTGCTATGACTCATACGATACTTAAAGATGAGAAATACTTCTCTGAGTTGAATATTACTGAATCCAGTGTTAACACAATATCTGGAAATGCGAGAATGATCATGGGCTCAGGAAAAGAGCAAGTTTTATGATGCATAGAGGCACAAAGATTATGATCAATAGCGCATTATTCGCTCCAAAGTCTCAAAGAAACTTATTGAGTTTCAAAGATATTCGCCAAAATAATTTTCATATCGAGACTATAAGCGAAGAAAATCGTGAATACCTTTGTATCATGTCAATGATTGCTGGAAAGAAGCATATGATGGAAAAGTTACCATCATTATCCTCTGGATTATACTTCACAAAGATATATATGATTGAATCATATTCTACAATGAATCCACGGTTTGGAGATGTGTTCAAGATTTGGCATGATCGATTGGGTCACCCTGGTTCAATAATGATGCGGAGAATTGTGGAAAGTTCTAATGGTCATCCATTGAAAAATGGAAAGATTTTCCAATCTCATGAACTCACATGTACCGCATGTTTAAGGGAAATTGATAATACAACCGTCATCGGTCAAAATCGGAAATGAATTGTCATCTTTTTTAGAACGAATACATGGGATATTTGTGGACCAATACATCCACCGAGTGGACCATTTCGATACTTTATGGTATTGATAGATGTATCAAGCAGATGGTCACATGTTTGTCTATTATCAACCCGCAAAGTTGCATTCGCGAGGTTTCTTGCTCAAATATCAAACTACGAGCTCAATTCCCTGATTATCCTATTAAGAAAGTGAGGCTTGATAACGCCGGTGAATTCACTTCTCAAGCTTTCAATGACTATTGTATGTCACTCGGAATTGAGATTGAGCATCCTGTTCCCCATGTCCATACACAAAATGGTATGGCCGAGTCATTAATTAAGCGACTCCAACTTATTGCTCGACCATTGATGATGAAAACAAAACTTCCGATTTCTGTTTGGGGGCATGATATTTTACATGCTGGAGCACTGATTCAAATTCGTCCGAGTGCATATCATAAATATTCTCCAGTGCAATTGACAACTGAAAATGAACCAAATATATCTCATCTTAGAGTATTTGGTTGTGCGGTATATATACCAATAGCTCCATCACAACGTACAAAAATGGGCCCCAACGACGATTGGGTATTTACGTTGGATATAATTCACCCTCAATCATTCGATATCTTGAACCACAAACGGGTGATATGTTTACAGCTCGTTTTGCTGATTGTCATTTTCGTGAGGATGAATTCCCGACGTTAGGGGGAGGAATGATACAAGCCTCACAGGATTTGATGTGGAAAACATAATCATTATTATATCTTGATCCTCCTACAAAACAATGTGATCTTGAAGTACAAAGATCATACATTTGCAAAACGTAGCAAATCGATTGCCAGATGGGTTCACAGATACAATACGGGTGTCAAAATCATATATACCAGCCGTGAATATACCCGCTCGGATAGAAATACCAAAGGATCAGGGGGAGAAAAGAATTTCAAATGAGTCTATGACACAGTTGAAACGTGGAAGACCAACCGGTTCTAAAGATAGAAATCCACGGAAAAGAAAAAAAACTGAGACTGGTAATAGTACTCAGATTGATGCAAAAGAACCGAATGAGGGAAAAGATACTGAATATCAAAATGATGAAAATGGTCTCCAGAATATAGAAGACAATGAGATTTCCATCAACTACATCCATAAAGGAAAGATGTTGGTAAGAATTGAGATAGATGATAGTGATGGAGGAGAATGATAGTGAAGATCCAGAACCAATGTCGGTATCTGAATGTCAAAAGAGATATGATTGGATAAAATGGAAAGAAGCTATGGAAGTAGAATTAGACTCATTAAATAAGAGAAAAGTATTTGGATCCATTATCCAAACCCCTGACGGTGTAAAACCAGTTGGATGCAGATGGGTTTTTGTTCGAAAGAGAAATAAAAATAATGAAATTACGTTCAGTCATGGATGCGATTACGTTCAGATATTTGATAAGTTTGACAACTTCCAAGAATTTGGAAATGTATCTCATGGATGTTGTCACAGCATATTTATATGGGTCATTAGAAAATGACATATACATGAAAATACCTGAAGGATTGAGAATGTCGGGGGCATTAAACTCAAAATCCAAGGAAATGTATGCGATCAAATTACAACGATCCTTATACGGATTAAAACAATCTGGACGTATATGGTATAATCGCTTAAGTGAATGTCTGCTGAAAAAGGGATACATTAATAATCCCATTTGCCCATGTGTATTCATCCAGAAAACAACGAGCGGCTTTGCGATTATAGCGGTGTATGTGGATGATCTAAACATAATTGGGACTCCAACGGTAATTGAAAACGCTCGAAGTTATCTCAAAGGAGAATTTGAGATGAAAGATTTGGGACGAACAAAGTTTTGTCTTGGACTACAAATAGAACATTTTTCTAGCGGATACTTGTTCATCAGTCCAACTATACCAGAAAATTCTGAGGCGTTTTAACATGGATAAATCAAATCCGTTGAGCACCCCAATGGTTTGTAGATCCCTAAATGTTGAAAAAGATCCATTTCGCCCTTACGAAGATAACGGGGAGGTACTCGGTCCTGAAGTACCTTATATGAGCGCGATAAGGGCATTATTATATCTTGCTAATTGTACTCGACCAGATATAGCATTTGCTACTAATCTTTTAGCGAGATATAGTTCATCTCCAACAAGACGACATTGGACAGGGATCAAACATATCTTTCGTTATTTACAAGGAACGATTGATTTGGGATTATTTTATCCTAAGAATTCGAAACTTGAGCTAATCGGTTTTGCAGACGCATGTTATCTATCCGACCCTCATAAAGCCCGATCATAGACTGGATATGTTTTCACAATTGGAGGTACTGCAATATCCTGGCGTTCTCAGAAACAAACATTGGTTGCAACATCTTCGAATCACGCTGAAGTCATTGCACTTCATGAAACAAGTAGAGAATGTGTGTGGCTCAGGGCTGTAACCTGCCATATACTAGAAGCGTGTGGATTATCGATTAATATCGATCCAACGATATTATTCGAAGATAATGCTGCATGTGTTGCCCAAACTAAAGAAAGATACATAAAGAATGATCGAACGAAGCATATTCCTCCGAAGTACTTCTCTTACACTCAAGAGCTCGAAAAAAAGAAGGAAGTTGATATCCGTTATATCCAATCAAGTGACAACGTAGCTGATTTATTCACAAAGGCACTCCATACTTCAACATTCAAGAAGCATATTCAGAATATCAGAATGCGTAGTCTTCGAAGTTTATGAAGAAATGTATGCATATTGGTTCGAGGGAGAGATTGTAAGACTGTACTCTTTTTTCCTCGTCATGGTTTTTATCCCACAGAGTTTTTCCATGATAAGGTTTTTAACGTACTAGATGTCTAAAGGGGAGTGTTGTAAATATACAAGTAGACATCTAGTGGGATCCATATTATCCAGTGGAACCCATATTATGTCAAATCACTATGAAGAAGCTGACCCTTCTTCACTATGAAGAAGCTGATCTTTCTTCACTATGAAAAAGTTCCTTATATTTCTCTATAAATAGGTCAGTGATATAGTTCATTTGTAACAGACGAAATACGAAGAACATTCTCTATCTTCTCTCTATCATACTCTTTCTCTCTCTAGAGCATCTTTCTCTTGTTTTTCGTCTTTCGTTTTCAACAAAGCAATCATCTAGGATGTAATTATAGTGCCCCGTTGTGGTATCTGGAGTCGAGAGTAGGATATTATGCGGTATATTCTCTTTCGTACTTCAATAACTGACGTTGTCTTACCCTCAAAGATCCGCCGGTTCCACGTTCCATATGAAATGGGCTATCAAACCAAGATATATAGCTGTAGATATCCACCGGCGGTCGAACCAACATTTGGATGCATCGCGTTTCCATTCGAAATCTAAAGAAAATAAATACAAGAAATTCGAAAAATTTATAAAAAAAAAACATATAAACCCTGCAAATATCTCATAGTTTCGGGTTATTATTATCCCTACGGAAAAGATCGTATATTTGTTTAGAGCTGTATATATTGTGGTAGCAAATTTTTAATGGGTTTTGTACGGGTTACTCCACCAACCATGAGAACGACGCCGTTCAGCATCTTCGCGAGTTTTGCTCGTTAGCCCGACCGAGGAATCCTCACGTCAGTATCGGAATCCATGGAGTTCTCTTCCTTCAAGTGGTCTCCGGCGGAGTCCGTCCAGTTCCGTCTGCTCTGTCCTGCACCGAGAACCGGCGCCATCATCGGAAAAGGCGGTTCCGTCATCCGCCATCTACAATCCATCACCGGCTCCAGAATCCGCGTCATCGACGACATCCCGGTTCCTTCGGAGGAGCGCGTTGTGCTGGTAATCTCTCCAGCGGGAAGAATTTCCGCAGATAAGGATCCGAAGAAGGACGAACATAGCAACGATTCATCGGAGAACCCTAACTCGGAGCAGAGGAAAGAACAGAGGAGTGAAACGAGCGGCACGGCGGAGCACGATGCGGAGGAGATGTCGCCGGCGAAGACAGCTCTGGTTCGAGTGTTGGAGAGATTAGTGTTCGGCGACGATGCTGCTTTCGGCGTTCGAGGCGAGGGCGATGAGTTGGAGAAGTCGGAGACTGAGGCTTTCTGTAGGATGCTTGTTGGAGGGAATCAGGCGGCGTTCTTGATGGGGAGAGGAGGGAGGATGATGCAGAGGATCAGGCAAGAGAGTGGAGCTACTGTTATGGTTTTGCCCAAAGATGAGGTTCCTCCTTGCGCTTTTCCCGGTGATGAGGTGATTCAGGTAGACATTTCTTCACTTTTGTGCATTTGGCAAATCCTCTGGTGAATGGTGATCTGATTTTACTCGATTCAGCATTTGGTTATGTCCGTTTCCGTGTAAAATCGTGGGCCGTTAGCTTAAATTTGTGAAAAAAATGCAAGTGATTAGGGATTTCCATGAAATTCTTAAAATAGTGAAGGTGCTTTGTCTTGTTTTTCCTGTCGATTCATTCATTCGTTCTGGCTCATACAAAGCTTATGCTGTGAAGATGTCAGGGAAGTTCTCGGCTGTAAAGAAGGCCCTTCTTTTGGTCTCTCATTATCTTCAAAGCAGTAATGCACCCTCGACATGGGAAGCATGTCCGTTTCCCCAGCATGGTTATCCGCCTGATTATCATTCTGCGGAATATCATCATCAATGGGATTACCCTCCTAATATGATACCTGAAGATGTCAGACCCTATAATAGAATGGTTATCGAAGAGGACATAGTGTTCAAGCTCTTATGCCAGGCTGGTAAAGTTGGAAGCGTGATAGGGAAAGGTGGTTCTGTTGTTCGAGCTATTCAAAATGAAACTGGTGCATTAATTAAAGTAGCGGATCCTATACATGATTCGGAGGAGCGGGTTATCATGATATCGGCAAGAGAGGTATGTGGGTTCATTGCCAATTATTTTTGTATTAATCCACTTATTCTATTTCAGCAACATCAACATCGTCCTAAATCTCAAGTTTATTTGGGGTTGACTGCATTAAGTATTCGTTTCCACTCATTTCAGTTTTGTTTGGGTTAGATCTCACGAAATTTGCAACAACATCAAGACATTGCTAATGACTTATTTCCAAATAAGCCTAGGTCTATCCCTCCCTTTTATCCTCATTCTCATTCCTAGGTTCTCTACCTTTCTAACCGAAGCGTCTATCTGCGTACTCCACTTATTCTATTTACTCAAAAAAATTTGAGATTAAGGCACTGTTGTTGTTGTTGTTAGTCCACTTATTCTATGTCCTCATATTATGTATTGTCCGAGTGCTGAAAGAATTGAGTATCCTTTTCCAGGAGGTGCTGATTTCTGTATGATAGTAAATACTTTACTTTTCACACTCAATGAGTCGTCACTGTCCTCGTTTAGGAAAGGAAAGCCTCGCCTGATATAGGAAGCCATTAATGGTTGAATAAATATGGTCTTAGAATATAGATTTTGGTTAATTACTGGCTCCACATTGTTTTAGAACTTGGAGCAAAGGCATTCTCCTGCTCAAGATGCTGTAATGCGTGTGCATAGTAGAATCTCAGAGATTGGATTTGAACCTAGTGCTGCTGTTGTTGCCCGGCTTCTTGTACAATCACCATACATAGGTCGTTTACTGGGTAAAGGTGGTCATGTAATCACTGAAATGAGGAGGGCTACTGGGGCCAGCATTCGCGTCTTTCCAAAGGATCAAGCTACAAAGTACGAGCCTCAACATGATGAGATTGTACAGGTAATTAGCAATCTTGTATACAGAATCTGCAAAGCCTCTGTTGTCGTTTTTCATACAGATGAATTCACCAATACTAGGGATTGGCAGGTCGTGGGCAATGTAAAGACAGTCCAAGATGCTTTGTTCCAGATAACAAGTAGGCTTAGGGAAGCAATGTTCCCGGTAAGACCATCGTTTCCAGGTATGGGTGGCCCACCTTTCCTGGCTCCCTTTCCAGAAGTTCCACCTCCATTTGGACCAAGACCCTATCCAGCTTCTCCAGATCGATACCATTCCCCGGTGGGATCTTTCCATGGTACTGATCAAAATCCCGTGCCATCCCAACCCCATGATCACCAAACTGATCTACTACATGAAATAGGTTACATACTTCAATCTTTTTCTGTTTTGTCATATATGTTACCTATATAATACAGAGAGACAAGGTCATCATGGTCCTGGATTTGAAAGACCACCTTCTCCACCAATGTCTTGGACACCACAGGTATGCAGAGCTTTTGCAAGTAGGATAATGTGCTACAGATATGTACTTTGACCCGTGTTTTCTTCTGTATATTTATAGCCTGTTTATATTTCTGGTCAGGATGGTCATGCTTGGGGTGTGGCTGATGTGAACCATGGGTTTGCTTTGAGGAATGAACCTATTGGCAGGTACACCTTTTCTCCCTTTTCTTCCTAAACTTTGTTTATTTTTAAACCCTTAATGGCTAGGTATGTGACGGCACTTCTTTGTTCCGAAGGAGATCATGAGACACCAGAATGAGGGTTTTAATTGGTCTGAGAGTTTCATTCTCCAGGCCAATTTCTTGTACTTTCTTCGTTATAACTCTTAGATGCTTCAACATCCTTCACTGACGTGTCTTCAAGCCTAAACCCAAGCCTTATGCGCACAGAATCCCTCAAATCATAACAATCAAATACAGAAACCGATAAGATCATGGTCAGCTCTAGAGTGGAGATGCCAAATCTTCGAATCAAGGCCAAGGCTCAGTCCTTATGCTGTTGTTTTTCTTTTCCTCTTTCTTCAAGTAGTTGATCCTTGAGGCCTATCAGTACAGTGGCTAACGGGAAAATTCTACACGTCAAGAACTATATCTGGATTTCAATGTTTGTTACAACACCAGTGTGAGTTTTCTGATCTTAGTTGTGTTATACGGTTTGGCAGTGAGAATCAGACAATGACAAGCATGAAGGTAGAGATAGTGATTCCTCAAGCATATATGGGTAACGTCTACGGGGAGAACTGTACTAACCTCAACTATATCAAGCAGGTGAATTCATCGAAATGCACATACACATACACATACACATACATACACAAATATATACATATTATCTTAAACAATTTCCGAAGACGATGTTTTGTGATTATATATTTTCCGAAAACAACAGATAACGGGAGCGAATGTGGTGGTGAATGATCCAAAGGGAGGAGCTACAGAAGGTGTGGTGGTGGTGTCTGGGACATCAAACCAAACCCATTTTGCTCAGACACTTGTTCATGCCTTCATTCTCTCGGGTCAGTCTTAGAATTTTTTTTTCTTTTTCATTTTCTTTTTTCCTTTTTGCATTTATTAATTATCAGATTTTAGTTTACATATAATACATCAATGATCCTGTATATCCCCTAGAGATGATTACAATACTCAGGATGTGATCTACATGTTAGTCTTTAGATTATCTTCTTATGTTTTTTATGCTTAAAAAACCGACTAATTCGTGTGTTGTTGCTGATCGAAAGTACGACTTTGATTTTGGTGGTGTTTGTTTTTCTTCTTCTCTAATGTCACTTTTTTTGTATGGAATTTTCCGATAAAATATGTATTTTGGAAAGAATATAAGATTGATACCTAATGTGCAGTATGTGCTGTATAAATACGATGTTGCCTGTCTGGGACAATGTCCGTATGTAAGCTTTGGTGTTAATTAATTTATTTCTTTGTTGAACTAACCGATTTTAGTATGTAGATTGACCTAAGTTTAGGTTTGTTTTGTTATGATCGAAATCTACAAATATATAAATGGAAGAAACTAGTAGTAGAGGAACCAATATATCGCATAAAATGATGAACATATAGCACATTTATACTATATATTAAGAGTAGCAGTTCATGTTCATATATTATATTCGAATTGGAACTAAATTTGATTTAAGAATAATATAATTTTAAAATAAATTATTTAAATTCTAATCGAATACAATTAGATGATCGGATGTACTAATTTCAAAGAACAAAAAACAAATGTTAAAGTAGGCAAACCTAACCTATTACACAATCTTATGGTAGAGTTTCTGGTAAAATCAGTAATATTTTATAAGTTTTACGGCAAAAGTTCTGTAGATGTAATTATGGTAGATTCCAATTAATACAACACTAGCAATTTGTGCTTTTCAAAGCTTTTCATAAACAGCTCATTGCAAAGTGAAGAGCCTTCTTTCTAATCCTGTATCCGACCAAACCGCCTAGGCCGCAACTTAATAGAAGGCTTACGCCTCAAGTCACCACCCGATTGCCCAAGACTCACCGAGTCACTCCGAGTCACGATCTTAAGAGGGTGAGCTTCTGTGTTGAATACCCACTCGTCCAAGGGAATTACCGTCGAGGGAGAGAAGAGAAGGTAGAGATACTTCAGCGTCTCAGCTAAAAAAAAGCTTTGCATCTTATTGTCCTTGACACCCGTGTTTACCTGAAAACCGAAGAAAGTAAATATGAATCTGAATCAGAACTCTCTATATTATAGTCTTCATGCTTAATAGAAGCTGCCACGGGTCGAGTATCCAAAAAATTATAGGGTATATGAACCCGTATCCGAAGGCCTAGATTATCACAATTTGATATTCGAACTCATACCCGAAGGTCGCAGGTACCCAGACTACAATTATTGATAAAATGTTTAGGTATCCGTGGATACCCAAACCCATTAATGATTTTAAAAAATAGATTAATAACAAAAGAACGTATAATACTGGAAAACGGATCTGCATACCCGAAAAATTTAGGTATCCAGATCCACACCAAAACAAAAGGGTAAAAACTAAAAATTAACGTGGCATATATCACTTTTAAGAGTATCCATTGGTACCCAACACCAGTTTTCAGTTATTCGTTCCCATTCGATAATGGCGAGTAATAACAAAACGTCTTGGTATCCAGAAACCTGATGCCTCGTATGTATTTATGTCCACCTCTAATAACGCTTAATAGTAAACAAAACGTGAAACTTACATCCTTCAAGCCAACATATCCGGTCTCAATGCGAGAATTCTTCTCGAATGCTTCGAATATGTTCCAACCCCACTCTTGATAAGTTGTGTTGCCGGTTAAACGCCATAGGTAAAACAGGGATTCCACGGTCTCTGGTCTCAAGATGTTCCATGATGTTCCAACGCTCATGTCCTGAACCCATCATGTGTGTGGGTAACACTAAGAGAAAGAAACTAACCATAAAAAATGCGTATTTAAGTAAAACAAACGGCTACCTGCCCAGCGTTAAAGAAATAATTCTCCCCTGCCAATTTCGTTGGTGTCGATTGATAAAAGTTATAACAAGTCCATGCGAGCTGTAGATAGTGTGAACATATAAACATTGAAGGCTCAAACTAGAAGGGAAAGCTTATGGGCATAAACAAAGCAGAAGCTTCGGGACTATGAAAAGCCTGAACCCAACTACGGTATACCTCTTCAGCCAGTGATAGAAATTTTCGGGCTTCATCAGATGCATAACCCGAAGATCCTAAAGCCAACATTCCAGGAGCAAAGCATGCCAATTCATCCATCTGGATATATAAACAAGAGACAAAAACAAAAAATATCAGGCAATAAAGTTCTTCAAGTAGCATAATTTGGGGATAAAAATTCAGACAAATGCCTTGTGGATCAAGGAGTTTCCACTCTTCTCAGAGATATAAGTAAATGATGAAGGTGTTGATCTCTTGATCAAGCTTAACAGGCCTTGCATTGATTTCTCCCACATTTCTCTGCCATAACACAAAACTAGTTATTATCACCCAGCTCAAGAAATGTTGAAACTACAACCTTAAGATGTTTCATTTCACCCAAACTACAAGTTTAAGTTTCTCATGGGAACTGGTCACAACTGCAGAATCGCACTGAGATGTTTCATTTACTAACTTAACTTGAACCAATTACAGATATATCCTGTGAGAGCGTAAAATCACCTATAGTGTTTCACCGCTGAAGTTTTGTTCCCTTGTACCCAAACTTTGAGCAAGTACTCGTAAAAGCTGTTAAAAAGAAACCATCACCAAAATCAAAACATAGAAAAAACCAAAAGGTCATACATATTCCTTTGATCTTTTTCACCCTAGATATGGATGGGTGAAAAGACAAAGCAACAGGAAAATAAATCCAGTTCAAAAGTCACCTGTCTCCCATGGCACCAAATGTCGTGGTAGAGTATGATGGAGTAGCTGTTTCGGGGTTTATATTGATGGGAAGTAAACCATCAGCAGGAAAGTTTTTATTTAGTATCGAAATAACATTCTCTACCTGAGACACCAGATAACAAAAGAGTCAACCACGGACACTGAGTTGCACATTTTCTTTGGCATTAAGACAGTATACATATCCTAACCGTTTGTTGTCTTTCACATCTTATGTTATAATAAAAATCGATAGAGTTAAGCACAATAAAGTATCTCATTTACGCATAAAGATCTACAAAATCTCAGTCTTTCCAGCATTGAGAATCAGAGTTATGAAAAACCAAGTATACTGTAAGAAACAGAGGTATGCACCTTCTGCTGATATTTTAAGTCCCCCGTCCTCTGGGAAAGGGCAATGAATTCGAGCTGCTCAGTGCAAGAATCTGCAAGAATACTCTCTCCCTAATACAGCAAAAACATTATAATAAACTAAACCGGCAGACAGCATATGGTCAAGAAAGTATATCTTTATCAATAAGATCCATGTGCTTCTACTGAAACAAGATTTTTTTGGCCAAGGAACCCACATTTCTATCTCTAAAATCCAGAGATTGGTCAAAGCCATCTGTTGCTCAGCGTGTGGGATTATTCCATGAACGGATGCAAATTGAACAGTCTAGCCCATGAAGAAAATATCATTGGCACATAAAGTGAAAACCAGAAGAGCCTTATTTTTGTTCCACAGAACATCCTATTTCAAATGAGCTCATGTTTACTTTTGGAAAGTGGTTCGAACTTAATTTCAAACTGCCAATGGCCTCTAGGGTGCTCCACATCATAAACAAGTTTCTGCTGATGGAGAGAATGACTAGCAACTCTATGAAGAAGAAGATTCACAGGCACCAGAGAGTGGGGAAAATATATATAGTAAGGATCTCAAAACAAAACCGTTTGAAGAGCTCTACATAAAGTAACAGTGTTTATCCTCAGGATGGTGATACTAAACAAAAGCAGTAAAAAATCTATGACTCACCCCAGTCCACGAAGGATTGTGAGCGGTTCCATGTCTCAAGTTGATAATATTATAAGGTATGCCTGAAGGAGTGTTCCACGCAGGCAACAATCTGTCTGCGATATTCTTAGCCTTATCAAGGAAAACTTTGTCCCCGGAAAGATCATATGCACTAAGAAGTCCGCCTACTACTCTGAAACCCAACAAAGAGAGAAGTTGTTAGCATATAATTCTGTTCATTCAAAACCAACAAATAAGCGAATGAATAAGGCTCTCCCTACTACAGGTACAGAAAACAACCACATGGTAAACCTGTGAAATGCAACCTTATGGTTGTCTCAAACATACTGGCGTCGTAGTCCTTGTCGAAATCTAACGAGTTTGCAACCCATCTGCAAAGGAAAAATTATACGCAAATGAAGTTGGGAAGAAGGAGAGGAATACTTGGAAGGAAAGCTTCCAATAGTTGAAAAGGGAACATGTAGATGAGCCGGTGAGTAAGAGAACTAAATATACCATGAGCAGCCAAAGGTTAAGGCCAGAAAATATCGCTATATAGTTATCATCCTGACCAGCTTCTGAGATCTACATCTACTCTACTGTCAAAGGCAAATATTGAACATAACATGTATGTATCGAAAATGGGATTATTATGCTTGATTGATTTCATTTAATTTGCTTCTTATTCTTATGAGACATTATATATTTGGACAAAATGAACAACATACAGCTCCAAGGACCAAGATGTCCCTAGTGATCTTAGTAGCATGCCAATTTTTGTTGTCCAGGAAGATGGACCAAGTCCATTATCAGCAAGTAACGCCAGAAAGCAAAATGCTGAAAATAAGAAGAATGATAGAAAAATTACTCACTCTCTGGCTTTTTTAAATTGCTCATCTAGACCCATTATATAAAGTGTATCTAATGCATCTACCAGAGTTGCTCCGAGGCCACCGAAGCTATCAACACCATCCTTCGTCTGCGGCTGATAATGACAATAGGGGAAAAAATGGCTTCAGCAAAAGCTAAAGTGTGAGTAAATAGTAATCATATTGCAGAGCAGCTGAAACAAGCAGATAATTCTCATTCTCATAAGTGATTTGAAAAAATAGTTAGAAGCCTTTAAAAATGTGGTAAGTTGAGTTAAGCTCAAGGCACACAGTCTTATCACAAAAACTTCACAAGCAAACAAGAACGGGGTAGAACATGCCTCTACAAGATGTGGTGACAAGAGCGAACTTAGACTGGAAACAATTCTATACCTGAAGCTCGTCTTTTCCCCAGGCATATTTCTCATATGAACTCCAAGCATGAATCATTGCTTCTTTTACTCTCTGTCTTCGCTGGATATCAACTGGATTATCCTCGACATTCTTCAGTATCTTAAAAGGTACATCCCCGCCAATGCTTTTTAGCTCTTCTAGCTAGCAGAAAGTATCATCATTTAGATTGAATGATTAAGACAACTATAAAACCACTAAAATTTCTCAAAAGCTTCACTGGAACCACAGCTAGTCAGACTGATGCAAAAAAAAAAAAGAATTGGCATCAACATGCATAATTTCAGCAAAGAAGCTAGATCGTAACATGCGATATATATCAAGGACGCTAATTGAGAATCAAGAAGATGCAAAGATGGAAAATGAAGAAATTGGATGTACTAAACATATCATCAACCCGTATAAAGCGAAGAAATATCTTACCGCCTGCTGCAACCGGAAAACTTCATCGTTTAACTTAGAAATTTCAACCTGCATGACAGCATACCTGTTAGACATCACAACAACTGAGCAAACGGTGAGTTATCTCATGCATTCACTTCCTTGGAAGTGCAAAAAGAAGTATGCCTTCTTAATCCACGCATATAAATAACATATTTCTTTTTATTGTGGAGCGATTGAAACATCAAACTCGTTTCAAACAAAGAACATATCAGATGTCTCCTCCAGCTATTACAGTTATTTTCCATCTGAAATGAGGTCATGTCTATCCAAACTGAATCATGCGTGTGATTAGAACTCATGAAGTATCCTCCTTTTTGGTTCTGAAAAGAGAAGCCTTGCTTCCACTCGGCTATGAGATACGCCTAAACCTGGCTACCGTCTAGTTCATTGAACTCAATAGTGCCTACCCATTAGCTACGATACCAGAGTCATCTCTAAGGCAAGAATTAAGCCTCTATTCAGATGAAAGACGACAGTATTTGAGACACTTCCACAATCTTCCGGGAAAACTCACTACTAGTTATTACTCGCATACTAAACAACAGGGACCAAAAGTACTCCGAGTTCATGTCACAGGTAAAAGGAGCCGGGACAAAACAAAACGCACCTCGTGTTCCCGGACAAGAGTTTGACGATCCCAGACCAACATGGACACAGACACGAACACGATGAAAAGCAAAGCCAAACGCCTCAGCCTTCGGAGATAATACGCCGGATTGAAATACCTCCATAATCCAAAGCCACTGTCCGATCTACTCCTCGCCATTTCAACACAAAACCTTTCTCCGGTCAGATCTCCGATAAAAACCCTAAAAAATGCAAACGATCCAACCGATGGAGGGTGAAATTTCAAGAGGAAGAGGTAGAAATGGACGGATCCATGCCCATGGATCGAAGAAACAACGAAAGTGAAGATTCGAACTCCAATCTTCGGTTCTGGTACCAATCAAGAGAAGAACTTGGTCGGAGTAGGAACTGAGATCCCTCGAAGGAAAAAAAAGGGTAAAACTTCAGCAATACACCTGACCAGTCACATGACTTCCATTCATACACCTCTAAAATATAAAAAATTAGCAAGGTGAAAAAAAAATAGCAAAATACAATGGCAAACTTCAAGAATACTCCTGGGGTGTGGCACTGCTATCATTGATACATGTAAATGTAAAATTTTTTCTTATCAGATTATACACTTCAACGGTAGTAAAAAAACTCATATAACCCTATATATAAAATGTCATAAATACCCTAACACTTTTTAAATAAAAACGTACGGAAATAACTGTCTGATACATCAAAAAACGTGTCCATTGGTTTTATTATTTGGCAAAACTAATTTATTACGACTCAATTACGACTTATTTACAAATTCGTTAATTGAAAAAATATGTTCATAAAACGTGTATTTTGTCAATATTTATTCGAAAGATTATAGATATATACTAATCATGTCAATAGAAAGAGTTTTAAATCACAAATTACAATTTTATTAAAAATTTGGTATAAGTTTTGATAGGTAATACAAAATATAAATTAAACTTATACAAACATGTTCAACCATATTACATATATCAAAATATTAAATTTGTTGAAAATATTAATATAAAACGATTATTATCACTTAATTCATATATTTTTACCACCATTTGATAAAAATCGAGTCAAAATTCGTGATATTTTAACAATTTTAAAAGAATTCGTTGGTAGTAAATAAGTCGTGATCAAGTTGTAAATATTTGGTTGTGGCCGATTCCCGAGATAAAATGTCGTTTTTTACTTTTGGTTGGGCCCATTTTTATTTGTTCAAAATTGCTACTCTTTTTTTTGCCACTTTTATTTGCAGTCTATACGACTTTCTATATTTATTTTTTAAACATAAAATCGATTTCATACGAATTTCGCCACAAATATTTCTCCAAGTATTTCTCCAAGTATTTCTCATTTGATACACAATTTTCAGATTTTTAAGTAATTCACATTTTAATTTTTGTCCACATGATTTTTATTAATTAATTTCAAATTCATCTTTTTTTATATAAATTCGAAACGAATTCGGTTACGATTGCTATTACCTTTTTTTGTTACAATTGCAACTATTTCTTTGTAACTTTGTTTTGTAGTATTTACGACTTTTCGTACTTTTCGATTTTTATCTCAACGTCTTTTTTTATGATTTTTAATTTTTGAATCATTATAAAAAACAATATTTTTTTATTTTTTATCTCTATAAAAAGCATAAACGTTAATATATTAAAATTGTTCTATTTTATTTATTCAGTTAATTTTATATTCTAGATTTCTAGTGATATATAGTATTATAATTTTATTAATTATTTCTAATTAGTTTAATATGTTATATAATATAATAGATAAGTTATTAGTTTTAAAAGTAGTTTTTATAAAAATTTTAAAATAAACTATTCAATTAAAAGAATAAAAATAATCTAACACATAACTGATAAGAATTAGATTAAATATTAATTATATATATTAAGTGTTTGTTTTGTTTTTTTCTTTTTTAAATTTTAAATCTTTATAAAAAAATATTAATTTTTTATTTTTTAATATTTTTCATTAATTTTTTTATCAAAAATCTGGTAACATGCGTTTATTTATTTTTCTTATACGCTTCTTTTTATTAAGGGTGATATAGTCCTTTCCTTGTTTTATAAGGGTAAATTTGACTTTTGATCATTGCTTCTGATTTTTGGGTGTATCTGTGAAAGGCGTGCGACAGGTAAGGTGCAATTGTGAAGTTTGCCTAAATACAATCTTACTCTTGAAAAAACATGAAAAAACTATGATAACCTTAATGAAAAAACGTGTGAAATAATACACATGTGTGAGATCATATTATTGGAGGTAAAATATCACTACAATAAATAGAATAATTTCTCTCTCCATCAACCATTGAGAGACATCAAAAACTTTTACAGAGAATTTTAATGGCATTCATAATCATAGGAATATCGATAATCGTAGTTTTAATCCTTCAAACATCGAAGACATACATCCCTCCAAATGCTCCATTGAAGCCACATATCCATTTTTTCAAATCCATCTGCGATTCATCTCCTCGTCAATATCTTCCTCCCTAAGAAGAACTCTTGCCTCTGGTCCTCTAAGGCTTGGCAATCATGTCTCTCCTCTTTCTCATCCTTCTTCCTCCATTTTCACCAATCGGGTCTCCTCCGTAACCGCTCCAAAGCCTTCTGCGTCGACGTCAACGTCAGACACGACGCCATGGCTTTAACCCATCTCGGTTTCTCTGACGTCACCGTCATTGAACTGATCGATTCGCCTCTTCTTGTCAATAGAACCGATCTTCATAACCTCGTGTTCTTCTAAATGCTACAGTTATGTTTCTGGACCGAAGATGACTACAATGTTATTGCAAATTCAATGTTCTTTACAAGACTTTTCTCTTTCAGGTTTTAACGTGAAGGCCTTCTCTTGGATCTTGGTTCATGTGAAAAGGATCCTAAAATCTTGAGACAAGCCAGTGGATTAGAAAAAAATAGGGGAGAAATCGTCGGGGGCGGCGAATGCATAGCCATTGTAACCGTTGATCACCAGACGTCCGAGTCTGATGCTTCGGCTCTTCACCTGAAGAATTACCACATTCAGAATTCATTAGCTGTTGTATCTATTTTGTAAGTATTGATCTTTGTATGTGCCAAAGAAATAATGTCTTGTATGTATGAACTCGGTTTGTGATGTCTTATATGTGTAAACTCGATTTGTGTTGTATGATTTGTGTGAATATTAAGATGGTATTTTATTTAGCATAATTTCTTTTCGGATGATCAAAAAATTAGAAAATTTTATATAAGATTGAACTTGTGCATAAACAAACAAAGATAGAAAGTCGTATATACTGCAAAAAAAAACTCATAAAAAGAGTGACAATTATGACTACTTTATTGTAACCAAAAAGTAGTTATAATTGAGTTGTTTTTCCTTAGAAATCAGACTTATGTATAAAAAAACAAAAATCTAAAATAATATGAAAAGACATGTGGACAACGTATTTAGAAAAAGTAGATCCAACCAAGAGACAGTCACTAATTTTGTCTCATTTTGTCTCGAGAATCGGCCACAACCATATATTTACGATTTGATTACGACTTATATGCCACCATCGAATTTTTATAAATTTGTTAAAAATATCGCGAATTTCGACTCGTTTTCATCAAATGGTGATGAAATACAACCAATGAAGTGATATTAATCGATTTGAATTAATATTTTCAATAAATTTCAACAAATTTGATATTTTGATTCATTTTGTGTAATGTGGTTAAATGTGTGAGTAGTTAGTTAATATACATTTAATGTTACATGTTAACAAATGTACAAGTTTTTAATTAATTTATAATTTGTGATCTAAAACTCTTTCTCTTTGCATAATTAGTTTATATTCATCACCCCTTAAAAAATATTAACAAAATACAAGTTTTATGAGAAATTTTTTCTGATTCGCGAAATCGTAAATAAGTTGTAATAAATTGGTTTTGGTAGATAATAAAACAAACATATAGAGTTTTTCGTTATGTTATACATTTGATTTTTTAACTTTTTTACTTTTTTTTAATATATATTTTAGTATTTGTTTTTACTCTTTCACTTGTTTTGCCATATTGACGTGTTACGACTAATTATTTACCATTATTTGTGAACAATTACGTAATTGTAACTTAATAATTGTCACTTATTTACGACAACGTTGATTATTTTACATAACTTAGAAAATGCACATAAAAGTCAAAGAATGATGAAAAAATCCCGCCAATTAAGTGATAGTAATCATTTTACATTAATATTTTTAACAAATTTTAATATTTTGGTACATTTTATATAATATGGTTGATTGTGTTTGTGTAAGGTTAATATATATATTTAATATAGTTACTTGTTTTGATCTTTGACTTGTTTTAACTAATTATTTTTCACTATTTTTAAACAATTATGTTATTATAACTTAACGATTGCGACTTATGATCATGACTGATTTTTTTACATACCTAAAAGACGTACAAAATAGTCATTTCATAGCGATTCAATCGCTTATAAAAAATAGAAATAATTATCCGATTAAATGTATAATATATTTGTTTGGCCTAATTACTGAATTTCTTCTTAAATCATTAATCATATAAAAAAAAACTGCAATTACTTAATGAAACAGAAACGAAAGAGAGAGGATGTAGATAAGAGAGAGAAGAGAGTTGGCATGTTAGAAGAGAGAGAAAAGGTTACCTGTCTTTTTTTACACGTTTTTTAATTTTAAATGTATAGGGTTATTTTAGATATTTTACACTTGAGGTTATATATGCCATTTTACAAAAAATCAGGTTCTAGAAAACAAAATTTTTTACATTTTTTGGAGTGTATCCATGAAAGAGCTACGACACGTCAGGTGTATTCTTGAAGTTTGACCAGAAAAAAAGGCTGAAATTTTTTAAAAAAATATATAAAACAATGAAATAAATCTGACCTCCGTCTCGAATTGGGTTATTTTTGGAAAAAAATGCTTTTATTTAATTTTTATGTTAAATTTGATTTGGTTCGTTTTTATTCGAATTTAGTTTCGTTTTTTATTACTCGGAGGAATATATTAATTTTGACTAAAAATCATAATCTATCTAAATTATTAAAAAAATTTAATATTTTAAATTTATTATAAAAAAATTATAAAATTTGAATAAAAAACAAATATAACTTGTATAATTTTAAAAAATCATAATAAAAATATCATATATATTTAAATTTATCATATTATAATATTTAAAACTAGATAAATATTTATAAATATCAAAATTTATATAATAAATTTGTATATAAATTTTATATTAAAAATTTAGTATATTTTATTGATTATAAATAGGGATAATCACATAAAAATACCTGAATTTTTATAAAAATCCCAAATAAATACCCGAACTATAAAATTATCATATAAATACCTGAACTTTTTATAACT